TAAGACGTTTTGGAGAAGCAGAGAGTTGGGGGTCCTGGTTCTCTCTGCGCAGCAGTGGCCGTGTGCGACATATAACTCCATGGATGGGTTCAGATGTTCTCTTTGTGGAGACAGAGGTGTGTTTGTAGTATGAGCTGTTTGCATGAGAAAGCCAGGTAGCTGGAGGCTGAGGTGAGCAGAGCTTTGGTGTTCCAACAGGAAGAGTTCGAGATGAAATTGGACCGTTCTTCTAGATTTCAGGTGCAAACACCTGTGAGAGTGAAGTGGTTGGTGCTGTAGTAATGGAGAGAGTTGGGAGCCAGGGTCAGGCGGTCTGGTCTGTGGGATCACTGGTTCTTATGCTTCACCTTGTAATGAATCAACAGCTTGGGCTTGACTCAAACATCTCTCTCTTTAAGGAATCTAGTCTTGCTTTGGAGTCTGCTGCATCTGCTGGCAATTTGTTCCTCACACCGACGAGGCTTGCTGCTTAAAAAAATTAAATAAAGCAACGCACCCCAGAGATTGTAATTCTCGTCAGCAATGGTAGCATATGCTTTCCTAGACAAATCCTGAAGGACATGCACAGGCAGATGTTCACAACTGACCGTGAGAGCTGCAGGAGCTTGCCAAGCTGCCCTACTTGTCTCTGGTGTTTCTACTCAATGTGTTCCGCGCTTACTGGAAACACACAGTCACGATCCGTTCGCCAGTCCCTTCACACCACAGAGTTTCCATCATTTGCAAACAAGAGCCATCACCACGTGCCCGCAAGCGCTTTGTCCCACTCGGCAGCCTCGTTCGGTGAATACGCTGCGTTAGGCACGATGGTTTTGCCTGCGAGGGGATCCCCTTCGCACCCCTTGCCAGGGCACGGGGCACCAGCAGAGCTATCGAGTGACACGGCGAAGTGGTTTTCGTGCATGGCCATCCGTCACGACTCTGTTACTATATTAGGTCCATCGCTGGAGCCATCTGCCGGGGCGGGCTTGGCAGGCGGGCAGCCCAGATGCCTGCCCGCGAGATGACATTCCCTGGCTCCGGGCGCTGGGCAGCAGCCGAGCCAGCCTGCGGGAGCCGGGCACTGTCCTCTTGGAGGTCATTTGCCGGAGTGGCGTTTGCTACCGGTTCTCTGCTGAAGACCGTGTTGCCCTGTTAGGGGTGAAAAGGGGTGTTTCAGGAGGCGGCGGTGGATTTGGCACAGGACCGCTTGCCGTAACGCTGCCTGCGTGCTGGTACTCGTCCTCCTGGCTTCTGCGCCAGCTGCCGTGGGACTTAATAAACCAACTCAAACCCAATCTCCTCCCGCATCAGCCGCCTTTTGTAGCCGTCTCCAAAGCTAGCGTGGTGCAGCAAGAAGAGCTTTTTGATGATTCCTGCCCGATAAGCGTGCGCGGAGTCGGTACGCCTAATTCTCGCCCTAATCCACGGAAAAATGCTGCTGCTTCATTTTGCGGATGGAGAAAGAGTGCGTTGTACAGCTGGCAGCAGGTTTTGTCATCCGCCTTTGCCGTCCCGGGAGCAAAGCGCAGCAGCTTTGCGTTAGAGGGGCCGGTACCTTTCACCAGCTACGTAAGGGCTGCGGGAAACGGCACGGCACGCTCGGCTTGCGAGCGAGGGAAGAAACCAGCAGAGCTAATGATTGACTATTATTTTAAGGGGATTATCTAATCCGCAGCCCAGAGGACAAGATGAGTGAAGATTGAATACGTAATTAGTGCAGATTGTTGGTAATACCCTCTGGACTCCGACTGATTATAAACAGAAACAGATTTTTCTAGTTTCTCCCACCCCCAAAAAAAGCCTTTTCGTCGGCCAAAGGGCCACTTTGAGGCAGAAAATGTTGGAAATTAAGCGAGCGATGGGAGCTGGGGCCGTGGAGGCCTGTAATGCAAGATGGCTGGGCAGCGGGGAGGCAGAGGAGCAGCTTCTCTCGGGTTAGTTTGCAGCATAAAGGCAGAGTTTTGCGTGGAAGTGACTGAACTGGCATATGTGGGAGGTCGTTTTCTGCTACCCCGCTCCATCCCTCGTGCCAGGGCTCCTCTGTCCCGGTGGCTGTGGGAGCAGGAGGTGCAGGGATGCGGCGGTGACCAGGGATCCTAAGGAAGGCTGGAAACAGGAGTCAAGCTCTCCCAAGAAGGACCTGCTTAGGAACATTTGCTAATTTGGATTCCTGGATTTGAAATATAATTATTATGATTATTATATATTTTTAACATTGTTATCACCTGGACCTGGTTATCAGCTGCCTCAGGTCTGTTAGAGGCCAATTCTTTTTTTTTTTCCTTTCTTCCTATGTACTAAAGGTCATTAGAAGTCAAGTGAAAGAGATTTGCAAGAGTTACAGATCCATTATTAATACAAAATAAAATATGTATGGCTAAATACAACAAGCCTAAAAATACAATTGGGCACAAATAAGCCCAGAGGAGGAAACAATGGAAGGAACTGCAAAACCAAACGGCACACCCAAGCACTAAACTTCTGAAGTGGTTAAACAAGGCTAGGAAAATAGCTCTCAAACCTCTGATGACAAGCGGGTTTCTGTTTCCCTCTCTTTAATTTGGTCGAAGAGGATGAATGAGAGAACTGCCACTCCCATTTGGGTGAAATGCCATGATTTTAAAAATTACCCCTACTCAAGTTCAGGTGAAATCCCAGAATCTGAAAATTTCCCATGTAAAAGAATATGTCTGAAATGATCATTTTGGTACACTTTGGCTGAACGTATCCAACACGATTCAGCTGCCGCATTGCGAACCGCGCAGGAACTCGCAATCTCATCAATTACAACATCGCAGAGTAAGACTTTAAATGGGAACGTCAAAACTCTTTGTGCTGTTAAGGACCTTGCTGAAACACTCTTTTGTTTCAAATTTCTTTTCTAAACTGAAGGCAAGAGTCGTTATTCAGTTCCCTGGGGATTTTTTTAGTTTTGCTAGGATGTCCAATAAGAGACTATTCTGCCCCAAAAGCTCTGCCCACCAGCTGCAGATCGCTGGCCTGGAAGCACATGGGTGCCTGATGGTACCGTGACCCCATGGGGCATCTTTTAGGCTTTAGGAGTGTTTGGAGTGTGTGGAAACACCTTCCCAAACGCACCAGGGCATGTCGTCGTTGCCCTGATGGGACGTTGTTCCAGCGTGTTGTACCTGGACGTTGTACCAGGTCTTGTGTAAAACAACCAACTGCGAAATAATCTGCTGTGATTTTAATAACTCAAAGTCCCTTCACTTACTCTGCAGAAATGAGCTTGGGAAAATAGGATGGTGCAGCCAGGCTGCTCCAAAACTGCCCCAAAGCCTGAGCACCCCTTGTGCCAGAGGGACTTTTTCTTTCTGAGCTCGGAAAGCAGTGCGGGATGGGCAGAGGTGGCCTCTCGGCACATCCCTTTCAGGGTGGCATCTTCTCCTGCCCTGCCCGTGGGTGTGCAGCTCCGGAGGACAGCAGCTTATTTGTACTATTAAGAAGAACAGCAGGAAAGCCGTGGAGAAGAGGAATCCCAGTATCTGTGGGAATCTCCTGAAGTCAGAGTTTACCAGGCAGGTTTTGCTTGCACCTGGCCCTTTGTGCGGCTGGATACCTGCTCCCGTTCAGCCGTTTCTGACCCTCTTTGATGGCCTGGGCTGACTCACATGTCACGCTAACGTTGTTATGCTTTTGTTTTGCAGTGTTTGGGTATTTTTGATTAAGAAATACTGCCTGTTTGCCTTGGCAGTGGTGCTCATCGGATTGATGCGGCATTTTTTAGCTGGAGTGTTTATTCAGCCTCTTGGATTCTTTCTCAGGGGTGGGGTGGGATGATCCAAACCCATCAGTATGCTGGTGATCCATGAGGGCTTGTGAAAGGCTTGAACCAGGGTCTTTTCTGATGGAAACCACCAGCTTCCTCCACTTCCAAAGGCCAGGCGCTGGGGATGAGATGGACAGGCTTAACTGATCCCCATCCGGGTGAGAAACCTGGACCCCGGAAGGAGACAACAGCAGCATGAGAAGGGCAGTGAGGGACCCATTGCCTTGAGTCAAGCATGAGTGCACCCTCTCGGTCCAGATGCTGGGCAGGTACAAATGCCCCAGGTGGATCTAATGGCATCTTAAAACACCTTTTGCTTTTTGTTCTCAGCCCTGAGAATTGCTGGTTTCTTGCCTTTCCATGTTTTCTGTTTGGACTTTTTTATTTCTCCCTGTCCCGGGGAGACAAGGGCAACTGTGACTTACTGGTCAGCAGGTCCCTTGCAGCCCGTGACGGGTTGTCACAAGCTTTTTCCCTGTTAATGTTATGCACCTCTGGCAGGACTATCAAAACTTCTATACTGTACATTTTCTTGGGTTGGAGCTCCCATGTGCTTCATCCCAGAGTCCCCACGTTGCAACACCAGCACGCCGGGGTGCGTGATCCATTCACATTCCTCACTCTCCAGTGCTTTGATGAGGTGGACAGGGGATGGGATGGATATGTTGAAAGTGCTGTAAGGAGCATATTTTGCACACACTTACGTAAGACTACAATAATGCAGAGCTCCTCAGGTCCTCCAGCCAGGAGGTATTTGATGCCTTGTGCTCCTCTGGGTGACTGTTGAACTCGCTCAGATTTCCTCCCTCCTGCACGCATCTTGGGGTGTCTGGGGAGCAGGCACGATTTGCATTGCTAAACACCCGCGCCGAAGCTCAGCTGATTTTCTTTGGGAGTAGCTTTCCAGTAAGCCAGATCCCCTTAACCCTTTTGTTTTCTTCCTGAGGCACCTTATAGTTGTGATTTTTTTGGTCTTTCCAAGCATAAGGTGTTGTGTGGGTTACTGGGAGGCTCTCTGGGACCAGGGCTGCGTGCAGGACTGACAAGATATTTGCTGAG